GGTTCAAGACCATTTTGAGTAAATTGGAAAAGTTGGTTCCAATGTTAAAAGGAATTATTAAGAGTTAAGTATTTTGATAGAAAATGAGTTTCAAGTATATTATGGAGTTATTTTGGGATATGTTTATGTTAGTATAATACTAACATATGTATCATTATGAATTTGTGATTTATACAGATCGTGATTGATTTGTGATCGAAGGAAGTCAAATAGAAAAGGGTCAAGGTGAGTGCAATACATGCATGAAATTATACATGGATGTTTTATACATCATCACGAAGACTTGCGATAAGTCGACCTTGTTTATATCAGCATGATATTATGTCATTTTTATAACTTCGATATGACATTGATATGTCATGTGTGAAATTATAATGCATTGATCATGAATAATGTGATGTTTTACCATGAATATTATTTCGGGTATGAACTGCCCAATGTTAAATGATATTGATATATTTTGCCATGGATGGATCAAATAAAAATAGACTACATACTCAAGTACGTTATTGAGGATTAGTGGTATTAATGGCATGCCATAGAGTCTAGCAGCTGCATATTAGGTAGCACTAGAGTGTCTAGAGAAGACACATAGTGCAGGCCTCAAAGTGTCTAGCGAAGACACGGTACAAAGCACTACGGTGCATTATTAGGTGAGCAAAGCTAGACCTCAGCACTTCGGTGCAATATTTGACTCCTATATCAGGTTCCTCATACAATTATACTTTGGGTTATGGTTTATTGGTTAATAAATGATAAACTAGAAAATAAGCTTACGAGCTTATGGAATAATGGTAAGTATATTGGTAAATAAGCTTACGAGCTTATGAAATAAATGGTAAGAATATTGGTAAAATAAGATTATGAGCTTATGGAATAAATGGTAAGTATATGGTAAAATATTGGATATGCATGTAACATGATCTTATGACATTTTTTTTACATTGAAATTCATGCATGAATTGTATTGCACTGTTTATTGTTTTAAATTGCCTCACTAAGTTTATACTTAGCGTGTGATGATTTTCACGCGTAGGTAAAAAGCTAAGAATAGAGTAAAGAGTACAAGGCACTCCGAGCATCCAAGAATACACTTCAATATCAGTAAGACATCCAATGATGGAATTTTGACTTAGATAGTGTCATGTAATTATTAATGTTCTATTTGTTTTGTTGAACAAATTTAGAAACAAAATGATAACTTTATAATGATGAAAGGTTAAGTTTTTATGAGTTTTATATATTTTGCTGAAGTTACTGTAGCAGTTACTGTAGAAGTGAATAGTGATGAACAGCACTCACGTTAAAAATTTCCAAAATACTAAAGGGGTATCGATACCCTGTTACAGTGTACCGATACCCTCACTGTTCACTGTTCACGATACTATTCATAAAAAAATAAAAAAAACTTTTACTTTAAATTTGTTATAACGAAACATGATTCATATGATATGATATTTTTAGAATATCATTTACCATTTTAAAGAAAATAAATTTTAAATCACTTTTGAATTAGAAATGGTTTTAGAAATTCAGGTGACATCTATAATCTGTATAGGTATAATTATACGGGTTATGGGTCTTACAGACTTTGTGGTCAAAGTCAACGGACAAAGTCAACAGGTTGACTCAGACGGGTTGACTTGGATAGAGTTGACTCGGTGAATGGACCAAACTAGACGAGTCGGGTAGGGTCCGATTCTAGAAATTTCCTTGGACCCAAAACAAGCCCCACGTGCACCCGGCGGCACGTGCAACAGCGATAAGGGCCATTCAATCCCGAAGCATCTACACACCATTTAAACCAAAATCAAACAAAAAATATCAACCAAAATCGAAAAAAAATTAACCAAACTATAAACCTTAAACTTATCCACGATCACCGGTGAAAACGACAACGATGCAGTGACCCATAGGTTGGGTTTTACGCGGAACAAATCGGTGAACCCGTTGGTGACAGCGGTGAGGCTTGACGCTCACCGGTTTGACCGGAATCACCGAAAATGAGCAAAGATCGGGGTTATATTTGATGGGTTTCACGACATGATTTACCGCGAACGACACCGATTCACTACAAACTAGTGGTCGGGTTTTTATCACCGTTCGACGGTGAGTCTATAGGTGGCGTCGGAGCGGCGAACGGTGGTCGGACGACGAGGGGTTAAGGGATTTGGAAATTTAGGGATATTTGGGTTAACTGATCGGGGATAGGAAAGTTTAACTTTCACTTATAAACAAAAATGGACAAATTATGGGTTTTGTCCCCGAATTCCTGTAACTTTCTAAGTTTGCATGAAAATTATGAAAACTTATATTTTGGTCCCCAATTTTTCCCTTGTTACTACCTTAATTCGACACTTTAAATTTAATAAAAATTTAACCCCTAAATTGGGGTGTGACAATTCGGCAAACAACTTTTTACTAAATAAGAGATTTGACTATACATGACCACCGACAAATCAGTAAACAAATGTTGTGAGGGTCTTTGTGTAACTACCAAAACAAAGTATGCGAAAAACGTACCAAAAGTTCAGTGGTGGAACTCAACATTATTTGTTGAGGGGGCCATTCTAAAAAATGTATATATATTAGTTAAAATATTTTACAATCTTCAACTGAAATAAGATTAAAGTTGAATACTTAATAATTTAATTGAAGTCCTCAACTCAAAGAAGATGAACAGTTAAACAGAATAAAAAAAGAATAAAAAAATTTATATCTTGAAATTGGAAATAATAAAAGAGAATATATTGTCATTCATTTAAAAATAAAATAACACTAAAAAAATTGAATGTTAATTCTTTCTAATCAATGATAACCAAATTTTAAAGTAGTAGTTTCTAAATTTTAAAGTAGTATACACTTTTTTACTATAACTAAATTTAATAGCTTATTATATACACTTTTTAAGTTACCAATTTAATAATTTAATATATATATATAAATATATACCAACAATAAGCTTATCTAATGGATGAGACATTATATCCCTTAGCAAGGTTGGTAATTTGGCGTTTGCGAATGAAACAAATTAAATTAAGAGGGTCACTCTCGCTTCTACAATACTCAATCTGAATTAATTGATTAGAAAATTAAATACCAGTAACTATACCATATATATATATATATATATATATATATATATATATATATATATATATATATATATATATATATTACATGTATATAAATACATATATAGCCATGGCCCCCTATAGTCCTATAGTAGTTCTGCTTCTGCAAAAGTAATAAGGATAGTGTTACAAGACATAGAAAACACATATCATAAAGACAAAGATTTTTATTTAAATTTTAAAAAGTTAAAGAAAAAAAGAAAATGAAAGGATTAAAAAATCTAGATTAATATATATATATATATTGAATTGTCATAACAAACTCGAAAGTTAAGTTTGAATTGTCATATTATATTGTCCCTTAAATTTATATTATATATAGAGACACGGTATTAGCATGAACATATGTTGGGTGGCATTGAAATTTTGATTAAATTAAAGAAATTGGAAGGATAAGGACTGATTTTGAGTCCCAAATCACATTACCGACACTTATTACACACTAAACAATTCAAACTTAATTTCTTTAATAACTATCATTGTCTAATTTTATTTTTATTGATCTAATAATTCAAATTAAAATTATTGTATTTTCAAAACCCTTTATTCAAGTTGGCTTTCGTCATCATCGACCACCTCTGACCAGTCATCACCTTTGAACGGGTGCAACAAACAAGAAGCAGTGACTCATTGAATCAGTGGCCATCAACAAAAGATAGCAACAGCTATCATGCCAGACATCAAATTGTGTTTCAAAAGTATTATTTCACTTGTATAAAAGAAAGACAACAAAGAAGTTATCAAAAGTTACCTTCACCGACATCTTTATGCATACAGTTTCAGAGATTACAACAAGAAGTATTAAGCAAAATTAATTGTCACCAGATAAATCCTGCATTTCCAATGGATATTGGGGACTTCACGGATTTTTTAACTGTTGTTATTATGTACCTAAATGCTAGCGTTAATAACGTTAATGACTTAAATTAATAAAAAACAGTTTAAATATCTAAATATATATATATATATATATATATATATATATATATAATCTTTTTTTAATAAATCCGAAACAAAAAGGTACAACTATAAAGGAAAAAGACTAAATTCACACATACAACAAATACGACGGCTTCAGTCCATCCCTATCATTCTTTCTTGTCTATGATACGTTAGACCATGACACACTACCTTATTCATTGATGTATAAATTAAATATATTATTTTAAAACTTTAAATTCTAAAATTATTTAATATTCAAATATATAATTTTTAAAATATCTTATATACTTATAAAATAATATTTGTTTAAATTTTTTCTTATTCATTAAAAATACACATTATAAATATAACTGATCAAATATATATATTCTAAAAAAATAACAATCCTTACTACCATTGAGTGCGCTCAACAAATTCTCACATACATAATCTTTAAAAAATTACTATTACAACAATATAAATCAAACTTGAAATTATAAAAGTAAACTCTTAAATCGAGTGATTATTAATAAATTAAATACCACCGACACCATATTTCAACAATGGAGAATATTTAAAAAAAAATCAAGTTCAAAAGCATATTTCAAAGTGTAGAAATAGACAATAATATCTCTACTAATTGACTTTTTTTTATTAAGTTAAAAGAATTATAAAATAATATTTAACTTAAATACTTTTAATAATTTAATAATAAATATTCAATTATTTATATAATTATTGGTACTTAAACTTATGACCTACATAAACAATAACGATTTTTTTAATATTTAATTATTTCATGCTTTACTAATTGAAAATTAATTCTTATTAATGTCATAATTTTACATTCTTTAAAGAAACTATAGATCTCTAATTGTAGATTTTGCATCTTTTGTTCATTTATTCTATAGCAAAATGTACAAATCGTAAAGATAAATATAAAAAGATATACCAACGGCGTTAAGTAAAGAAAAGGGGAGAGAGATTTAAGATAAAGAGATAAACAAACGATATATTTGACGGCGTTAGTTGCTTCCTCTTCTTTCTTCGTCTTCTTGATTAGTCTTCAGACACTAACGCTGCATCGGGTCACGAGCTGATACTTGATGGCGTTTTCTCCGACGGAGACTCCATTACTTCTGCTACCGAAAGTGATATAAGCGGGACACCTAACGTGAAGATGATACCTTCCGGAAATAAAGGACCCAACTTTCCATCTCACCCGTCCATCAATCTTGATCACCATGAAAACCGACCCGACGGCTTGTTCGGTTTTCAGAGCGGCTGAAAAATCCGGAGCTATAGGGACCATGTTCCCGTATATGAAAGGAGACCAAACGTTGATCTCCTTATGACCCTGGTACGTCGGAGGGAGTGCTGTCCGAAGAGTGATCTGTTGGTTCCTGTAAGTGGCGTAGGTGACGAGCCTGTCGTAGTAGATCCCGATTCGGTCATTTGGGTTTCGGGAAGAAACGGTGACTTGGAAATTGGAGGTGAGGAAATTCGGGGTGGAGGTATTGAAACCGTAGACGGTGGTGTCTTGGAGGATGAAGCGGGGTTTGGTGGGGCGCAGGACTGCCCAAATGATGAGGATTGTGATGAGAACGATGACGAGAAAAACTAGAAGGCAACCGATGATTCTTCCGAGGAGCTTCTGGCGGCCTTTGCCGTGGTTGCCGCAATCCTTGGACGTCATGGTGGGTAGAAAATGCGAGAGAAATGGAGGCCGGTTTTAGAGAGAGTAAAATTTGTAAAATGAAATTAAGCAGATGAAGAGTTGGGTGTATTTGTATTATAATAAAAGGAAATAATGAGAGCTTTTCTTTTAGTTGAAGCGTAATGAATCAATAATTGTATTTAGTACTACTACAACTGTAGTGTACTTAACGGAGTGCTAAGAAAAAATATGGGTAATTATAATTTAGTATCTAAACTCTCAATTTTATTTCGTTTTAACTTAAATTTTCAATTTTTTCAACGTTTGATTTTTGTTTCATTTTAGTACTCATTAAAAACTTTAGGTTAAGTTTTGAAAAAATTAAAAGTTTAGGTACTATCGTAACCGTCCTTCGGGTGGGCCTGAAATCAGGTTCCGACTTAATTTCGATGTGATGGAGTCGCCACCGATCATTTTAAATTATGTTGATCAGACACCCTAGCTTACCTTTTATCTAATCTACGTTTTACCAAACAAAATTCGGATTCGAGAGTCGAATACAGTCAGGGAATGATTAACACCCCTGTACTCTTTCGGTACCTATTTGATTTCTTAGTTGTCTTAATTGCAAAAAATAAAGTTCAAATTAAAATTTGAAAGTTCGATCCAAATTACTTACTTTTGATGAAGTTAAAATTTACCTAAAAAAGTCAAATTAATGTCAAATAAAATAAAATAAGACAAGATAAAAGGGTATTAAATTAAAAGAAAACAATCATTAAAGAAGGATTAAATTGGAAAGAATTTTAAATTGAGGGTCAAATTGATGATAATTGAGAGCTGCAAGGGAAGAAATAAAAGTTAGGAGGTCAATTCACAAAATATAAGAAATAAAAGCGGGGATTAAATCGAATTAATTTAAAATTCAAGGGTAAATTTACAATAGGTGACCAAAATGAATTACACATCAAAAGTGTAGGGATTGCGGAAATAATTTAAATTTTTGCTAATTACACCAAGGTCCCCCTATAAATAGCCTTTAACACACCCAAAAATATCATTTTCACCCAACTTAAAAAAAATTCTCCACTCTCTCAGCACTCTCAACCTTTCCCCTTAACCGGCCATGGGCCGGTCACACTCCGGCGAAACCCCCACCATCACGTCCACCGTCGACCGCCGCTCCGGCCACTACCACCTGTGGTCGAAAAAACTAAACTCACCTAAAATGTTCTCCTCGTCCCCTTAAGTTTAAAACTGAGGCCTAAATCCCCTAAAAATACCCCTACCGGCGTAGATTTAAACGCAAAGATCAAGGCTTTACTTTTTTCGATGAGACATTTTTGCTTTCCCGACGACCTTTTACCTTCTGATGAAACTCCTCTGCGTCCTGGTGTTCTCCCACGAAACAAAGTTTTAAACTTTATTTTTCTTTACTTTCGGTTTCGAAAGTTTTCATCTTTGGGTTTCGAACGTTTACCGAATACTTATTTTTTGTTGTTAATGGCTTTTGTTGCTCAGATGTTTCTTGTTCGCATTTACTGTTGGTATTTGGCTGATCGGTTTTCTTGGTATATTCCCCGTCGTGTTTCCTCTCTGGTTGTTGTGGTATTTATATAGCCCTCGGTCGGGGCTGTTTTCGGTTAATTCGGGGGTCGTTCTCCCCGTTTCGATTTATTTGGGCCGCTCGATTGTTCTTGTCGCCGGAAATCCCGGGATGGTTCAGTCTCGGGTTGCTTGAATTGGAATCTTGGCCGGTCACTGGCGCGTGGCCTCTACGCGTGCTATTTGCTTCTTCGTGCGGCGCCCTTCCTTTGATACAAAACCCTAACCGGTTTGGGCTGACAGGTTAGTTTGGCTCGGTTGATCTCCTTTGCTAGACTGGACTCTTTGGACCTGAAAAAATAAATAAATAATAATATATATAAATATAATAATAATAATAAAGAAAGAAAGAAATAATATAAATAATATAAATAATATTAATATAATATATAAGGTAATGAAAATATATGAACATATAATATATAAGTATATTAACTATATAAAGTATATTAACTATATAATATATTATGTTTTCAAAATACGTTTTCAAAATTATATTATATACGTTTTCAAAACCATATGTTTTCAAAAATGTTTTCAAACCCATACGTTTTTAAAAATGTTTTCAAAACTATATATTATATACGTTTTCAAAAACCTTTTTTTTAAAAAACTATATATTATATGTTGTTTTAAATAAATTTCCAAAAACTATATATCATATATTTTCAAAAACAATATTTAAGACCTCGGACGGAAATAAGTGTCTATAGCTGCCCCTCTTTGCCCATTTATCATGAAACAAGAAATTAGGCAAAGATAAAGGGACACAAATTTTCGTTCGGGTAATTGCAAGTAAGCTTGCTATCGATCTCTGAGTTTGAAATATTTATCGAATATCCTCCATCGCAGAGTTGAAATTCAACTTAAAAATAGGAGATGACTTCCTGTTGTGGAGTTGTATTATGGGTGACTTGAGTTAATCTTGAGATGTATTTGAACACAATATCCTTCATCATGAAGTTGAAATCGTGGTTGACCCCTTCGTCCTGAAGTTGAGTCAGTCGAGCATGACATCCTTCGTTGTGAAGTTGAAATCTAGCTCGATATCTGGAGTAGGAGAAAAATCCTCGTCGTCTTCTTCAAGCCCAATACCCTTCGTTGTGAAGTTGAAATTTAACTAAATGACCTTAGTTGAGGGATAGTTCTTTGTTGTTACAGATGACTCATTCGTTGTGAAGTTAAGTCGATTTATTGGGCTTGATATCCTTCGTTATGAAGTTGAAATCGTAGGTGACTCATTCGTCGTAAAGTTGAGTCCAAATTGAATATATTTGCCTTGGGCCAGATATCATTCATTATGAAGTTGAAATTCAACTTGGATAGGCTGCATTGTTTTTAATCTTGAGCTTTCTTCGAGTTCAATATTCTTGAAATTGACTCCGACAAAAATATGAAAAATTATGCATATATGTGATGCTATGGATGCAATGTTCTTATGTATGCCTAAAATGCATATGTAACATATGTTATTTTAGGGTTTAGAGAGAAATCTCAATCTCTTGCTGTTATTTCGGATGACTCTTGATTCTTGAATCTTGAATTTTAGATCCTTGATCTTGGATTCTTTAACGGGCTTTGATATGATATACACTCCGGGAACTTGCAAAAAGAAGTTTTACTTCTAGTCTTGATTTAAACAATGCCTTCTTATTTGCAATGAACTAGCCTTCAAGTCATTCTTTCGAGTATGGTGTAAGAACCTTTATTAGCTTCCGAACACCTGAATTTTCAGGAAATCTTTGTGCAGTAATACACAATGATCTTTTCCAAATGTGAATAAATTATTCTTACTTAAATTCAATGGAAGATGCTAAAAAATAATTAATTTTCATTTTGAGAAATAAAAATATTTATTTACGAGGATGCATGGAAAACATTATGAAAAGTCAAGATATACATGAATACAAGTACATGCCCTATATCTTGATAATGCAGACGCTGTTGAACTGGTGCATCGTTAAGTGACTTTTGAGTGTAACTTTTGTCAAGAGGACTTCAAAGATGTGACAATGTTTGGAAGAGAGCGTAGTTCCTCCCAAATTAGTAAATTTCCTGTGGACTTGGACGTCACGATGTTTTATTACCTTGATCCGGGACCTTCTCATGCGTGAATCCTGTATCATATCCAAGCTGCCCTTTTCGGGTTTTCAACTTGGATCCTCCATTGGTTTCAAGATGCCTTTTGCTAGTTTTCATCTTGGACCCACCTTATTTTTTGTCTTTGTTTTTTTCTTTCTTTTCAAATTTAGAGCGTCCTTTCGGGTTTTCACTCTAAACGTTATATATATATATATATTGAAATTCAACTTTGGGCGCCCTTCCGGGTTTTCACCTTAAGCGAAATACTTCTTGAATATGTCAAAATTAATGAGATTAGGTAGTTTAGACCTGTCCATTTCAGTCAAGATCAGCGCTTCTCTGAAGATGGCCTTTTTTACGACATAAAGCCCTTCCTAATTTGGCATCCATTTTCCTCTGAAGTCTTTTTGGATTGACAATATCTTTTTCAGTACAAGATCTCATTCATGGAATACTCTTGGGCGCACCTTCTTGTTATGTGCTCGAATCATTCGTCTTTGGTAAAGTTGACCTTGGTGAATGGATTTCAACTTTTTTTTCTTCTGTTAGGTTCAATTGATCATATCCAGTTTGCACCCATGATCCATCATCCAATTTAACTTCTGACAAAACCTGGAGTGACTGGATCTCCACCTCAATGGGCAATACTTCCTCTATCCCATATGCTAATGAAAATAGGATTATCCCAGTCGAAGTTTGTACCGAAGTTCGATAAACAAACAAAGCAAAAGGTAATTTCTCGTGTCAATCCTTGTATGTCTCAGTCGTTTTCTCCACTATTTCTTGATATTTTTGTTTGCTGCTTCTACCGCTCCATTCATCTTCAATCTATAAGCAGTAGAGTTATGATGATTTATGTTAAATTGTTCACAAGTATCATCCATCATCTTGTTGTTCAAGTTTGTTGTATTATCGATAATGATTATTTCGAGTAAACCATACCGACATATGATCTCTTTTTTTAAGAAATTGAAAATAGTGGACTGAGTGACACTGGCATATGATGCAGCTTTCACCTATTTGGTAAAATAGTCAATTGTTACAAGAATGAACCGATGACCATTTAAAGCTTTTGGATGGATTTGTCCAATGACATCCATGCCCCACATAGAAAAGGGTCACGATGCCATCATCACGTGAAGAGGACGAGGTAGAACATTTATTTTAACCCTATAGATTTGGCACTTATGACATCTTCTAGCATAGTTAGTGCAGTCACTCTCCAATGTAGACCAGAAGTATCCACATCTCATAACTTATCTTGCCATCATATGTCCGTTTGCATGAGTTCCACAAATTCCATCATGTACTTCCTCCAATATCATCATTGCTTCTTCTACATCTATACATCTTAATAAGACTTGATCATGGCTTTTCTTGTAAAAGACTTCTCTGTCAATAACATATACGACCGTCATTCTTC